AGTGGTCCCCACAATGGATAGAGGGGGTCTTGGGGAGGTCGAGCCTCACCTGGGATTGTGTCTGTCCTCGGCAGGAAAGCAAGGCAGGGCACTTCCAACTCCTGGCCTCAGTTTCCTTCCAGGCACTTGCTTGGAGCAGTCTGCTGTGATTCCTAGGATTATCTGTCTCACTTGGGAGAGCTGGAGCCATGCTGTCCTGAAAAGTCTTTTTTTCTTTGTGCCACGCACACGTGTATGTGTGTGTGTGTGTGTGTGTGTGTGTGTGTGTGTGTGTGTGTGGTTCTAAGGATGGAGCTTCTGTATGTGTGTGCACACACATGCATATTGCTGGGATGGAGCAAAGGGCCTCCCCTCATGCTGGGTGAACATTTTGTAGCCCTGATCTATACCCTTAGCTCTGAAATAATATCCAAAGCTGATCACAGGGTCGCAGTGAAGTGTTTGAGCTGCATCTTCAGGACCAGGACACATTTCGATTGCTAAAGTAACACCAGTGAGCGTTTCCCATGGGAGCCCAGCTTCACTTGGTTCTGGCCTGCAGCCTCCAAGCTCTGGGAGTAGGATGTAACTCCGAGCATGGCCCCATGGCTTGTGAAGAGATCAGGTTCCCAGATCTCCTAGCTCTTTTATCTGCCTTCGCCCCTCCCAATAACCACACACCAAAGTTTGTCCTGGGGTCCATGTCTGTCCTGCCTCAGCCTCCAAGCAGTAATCCATCATCTTTATCTCACTGGAGTTTGTGGAGCCCTGTGCAGCCATTCCTGTAAGTTCTCCTCTCATTTGCAAAGTGTTTCATAGCTTCTATTAGGAGTCTTTCCTCCCAATGTGGGGCAGTGCTGCCCCACTCCCTGGTGGGTCCCCACTGACACCCCACTGGGTGGACACAGCCCCATGCCCTGCTCTGGGTGGGGGGGGCTGTCAGCAGCTCGAGCCATGGCTGTGCATTCCCACGGCCTGGGGCACTCTACCCAGTTGCTTTCCTGTGGTTGTTACTGAGGTTCACACACTGAGGTTCACAGTCGTGCTGGTTTGGGGCTCAGAGCCTGTTACCCCTTACTCTGAATAGCAGGGTTTTGTTTGTGGATAAAGCCTCATTGTGTTTCCCAGGTTGGTTTCAAACTCGAGATCGTCCTACCTTAGCCTCTCAAGTAGCTGGGATCACAGGGGTACACCACAGTCCCCAGCTAGCAGCAGGGCTTGAACTTGATGGCTCCATTCTCAGATCAGGAGGACAGCTCTATCCCCTTCCCCACCGTGGACTGGCAGTTCCTGAGGGGGGACCAGAATGCTCCTTTTTATCAGCTATTTAAAAACAGGCAATTATGCCATTGTGGACTGGTGTTTCTTAAGGAGAAAAGACCACACATTTTAGCTGGTCAGACCAGGGCCTTCTTTCTGGGAGTTTTGGCTGCCTTCAGAGCACAGACTTCATGTGTCCTGAATTTACCATCACAGGATAGGTAGGCATCTCCTCCCTGGTTACACTGCCTTTGTAAAAATCACTTAGAATTCTTATGTCACCTTTCATAGGATTTGCTGGACAGCAAGATTTTATGGCAGAAACTCCAGAAACAGCTGCAGTGCTGGAGGTGGAGGTGGCCATGGGAAAATGTGGTTATGCAGGCTTGGGGTCTTGGGGGGCCTGGGCTCCATGCCCCATCCGTCCCCAGGCCAGTGTGCAATGGCTGGCCCTTCTCCCTGGTCAGGCTTCCATCGGGTCGGACCTCTACCCTTCCCATCCTGTCCTGCAGCACCCACCTGCAGTCCCAGCTCAGCGCAGTCCCCAGCGGTTGGGCAGACCTGTTACTCATTGATGTGTGTTTACCTAGCCCAAGGAGACCCTAGCATTCAGAGAGCAGGATCCCCACATGGCCCCCGGGATGCCCAGCGGCCTGCCTCAGCAGAGCCTTGGTAGGTAACACTCGGATTCCCCAACCTCCAGTGATGCTGCCTGGACTGTAAAGTAGGGGCTTGGGTGTGAAAGCTGTTCTGAGGGGCAGGCTTCAGTGTTGGGCTCTCGAGGCAGCAGAAATGAGTGTACAGCAGAGGGGATGTGTCCCAAGCCTTTGATACGATTCTGTCCCCACCTGTGAGGCATTGAGTTTGGAGAGAAAAGCACAGACACGGACTCCCAGTGTGGCTTGGGACTCCCGATGTGGCTTTGGACTACGGCCTTGAAATGAACCGGAACTAGGGGAGACGCTGGCCTGCTGTCTCCTAAAGGAGGGAAGCACGGCCTCACCAGTTAGCACAGTCAGGATGCTGTTACAAATGCAGTGATTTTCTCCCATAATGCAGGGCCGGGTGGAAATGGGTCAGAGACAAGACTGGTCACAAACTGTTGTTCGTTTTATATTCTGCCTTTTTCTGAATAGGTTTGATTGATAGGTAGATTGATTGATTGATTTTTTTTTTTTTAATCATAAAGAAAAACAGAACCTAAAGGCTGTTCACTAGGGCTGAACCCGGAAGACCAGGGTTCTGAACTGATCTAAACTATCTTGCAGCCCCGGGCATAGTTCAATTTTGGGGCTGCAGCGCCATCTAGTGCTCACGGCAAGCAGAAGGCCGAGGGTACTAAGCTTGCTCCTTGTGTGGGCTTGGCTCTAAGTGCCCCCAACTCCCTGCCTTTTTTTTTTTTGTTGTTGTGTTTTTTGGTGCCAGGGATTGAACGCATGACTTCGTGTTTGCCAAGCAGGCACTTACACACTGAGCTAAACCCCCGGCCCCTACCTTTCTAGCTTCCCTCCGGAGGGTCTGGGTCTGAAGAGCAGGGCTTGCAGGCCACAAGCAAAGGCTGCAAAGGGACATCGTGCTTGTCACGGTGGTCCAGGGGAGAGAAGCCCTGGACAGGAGTCACTTCTGGAGGCAGCTGACCTTGGCAGAGGGCCTCCGTGTGACCCAGGTGTAAAAATAGCCTCTCATGTGACTGTGACGGCTGTGCTCAGTGCCTGGCCTGAGCAAACAGCCCCTCACACCTGCACTCTGTTTACTCCTGCAGACACCCAGCTACCTGTTTGCAGGTGCAAGTGACTGTTTGTGTACCCAGAGCTGGGGAGACCCCCGTGCTTCTATGGCCCACATTCCCTTAGAGCTGGGAGCTGGGATCAGGGCCTCTGAACCGGAAAGCCATGTGCTGGACCCCAGGCTGGGGCCAGATGGGGCACGTGCTTTAAAACTCTGCCCCAAGTTAGAGTTCCAATTGCCGCAGGAGTGACTCTGGCTTCTGCAGACCAAGGTGGCTGTGTTTAATCAGGGTTGGAAAATCCAGAGAGCTTGGAGTCAGAGGCTTTGGGGAGTTCTGAGCCAGGCTTTAGGGTTAGAGTGAGAAGGGCATGGGAGGGATTTGTCCACCACGATGCTGAGGACATGGAAGGGAAAGGGTAGTCCGTGAACAGAGGGAACAACAGACACTGGTGCACTCTGCAGGGGGAAGGCAGATGCTTGCAGCTGGCCAACCCTAGGGGTCACCATTTATGACGTGCATTTTCATACCCAAGGATCCAAGGAAAATGTCAGCAAGACAACAGACTGTGCAGATGTACAGAAGCAGGAAAAGCGAGTGAATTAAGCATTGTTGACTGGGCAGTTTGACAATTTCAAGGCTCAAATAGCTGGATGCCGTGGTGCATGCCTGTCATTCCAGGCTGGTCACAAGTTTGAGGCCAGCCTGAACAACTGATGAGACCCTGGAAAGGTACAAGTATAGCCCAGTGGTAGAATCCTTGCCTAGCATCTGTGAGGCCCTGGGTTCAATCGCCAGCACCACGAATAAGTGAACAAACACATAAATAATAATCTAGCCCCTTTGAACTAGAAATTTTGATTCTAGGAGACTGTTGAAGGAATAACAAAAAGCATATAGAATGAGCAGGATTTTCCAAATGAAAATTTCTAACTAGATAAAGATGAGGTACTGAGTGACAGAAGGTAAAAGCCCAGGGTGGGGACTGTGATGTCACAAGTTAGGGGAGTGGGACGCTTAGCCTAGCGTGGTCCAGGTTCACTCCCCAGTGTCACAGGAAAGTATTTGTTTTCCTAATGTAGGAAAATGCTTTGGTATTAAGGAGGGAGGCTTAAAATTCTCTAGTTAGATGTGCATTTCTCTAAGGGCTAGGATGCTGAACGGCTGGACATGATTTATCTTGTGGCTGTCTGCACATCTTCTAAGTTGTCTGTTCATTCCAGTTGTCCATTTTTTTGAGTGGGGAGAGGTTCAGATGGTTCCCCAAGTTACCTGCTCTGACATTCAGAACTGTTTTAATATATATGCTAATTTGTTCCATTTGTTCTGCTAGTTTCCCTTAGTTCATTGAAAAGAAAGTTTTATACCATTAGTGTTTGTTTCCTCTTTGTAAGAGACTCTTTTGCGGATGTCTTTTTTTGTTTGCTTGTTTGTTTCTGTGCTTGCCAGGCAGGCTCTTGTGCCACTAAGCTAAATCGCTGGTCCCTTTTGTGGGTGTCTTTATACTCTGAGTGACTACTTTGAGGCTAACAATAGTGTATTATTCTAAGTTAACTATTGTCATTCTCTCATTATTTTGTTATAAAACTTTGCTTTTTTTTTTCATTAAATAAAAAAAGAAAAATTAGCCAGGCTTGCAATTAGTGGGGCATGCCTGTGGTCCCAGCACTCAAGAGGCTGAGGTAGGAGGATCCCTGTGAGTTTGAGACCAGCCTAGACTACACTGGGAGACCCTGTCTGGAAAAGACAAAAAAATTTAAAAAAAGAAAAATACAGTTTGACCCGAGCTAGACAAATGTGTGTGACACATACAGATGGTCATCTGTCAGGTTGACCTTGAGGCTGGGGCCGCCTCTGGGCTGTGAGTCCAGGACAAGATCTGGACTGAAACCCAGATGTCCCCATCCCAGCCCGGGCAGCTGGTGACCTCCGTCCCTCTGTGGTGGCATCGATGCCAGACCATCGAGTCAGTGGGGGGCAGCAGGGTGGCAGCAGTAATCCTCCTGTCCTTTCTCCTCTCCTCCCTACCCAGTAGATATGTTTGACGACTTCTCGGAAGGCAGGGAGTGTGTCAACTGCGGGGCCATGTCCACCCCGCTGTGGCGGCGGGATGGGACGGGTCACTACCTGTGCAACGCCTGTGGCCTCTACCACAAGATGAATGGCATCAACCGGCCTCTCATCAAGCCCCAGCGCCGGCTGGTAAGCAGAGGCCCAGCAGCTACCCTGTCCATGGTGGGAGGTACTGGGGGTGGTTGGAGGGGTCACCTGGGTGGTGATAATCGCCACATCTCTGGAGTTAGCTGAGCTCTGAGGTCACTGTGGGAAAGCATACTGAGGGGCACAGGGGGATGTTCTCTCCCACAGCCACAGACACCCCTCCCTGTGGGGATCCACTGCAGGCTTCCTGATTCCCAGGCCTGGGGTCTCCGGCCCTTTGAGGAAGATCAGCACACAGGGCATCTCAGTTTACCTGGACAGTAAATAAAACCCAGAGCCCAGGAAGGTTGAGCAGCTGGCACTGATGTGTGACCCACACACCGGCTATCCCTGACCCTGCCACTGCTCAGACCACCTAGCAATGGCTGCCTCCCCGAGGACACAGAAGGGCTATCTCCTGTATTACAGTCTGCCTCCCGCCGAGTGGGCCTGTCCTGTGCCAACTGCCAGACGACCACCACCACGCTGTGGCGCCGCAACGCTGAGGGGGAGCCCGTGTGCAATGCCTGTGGCCTCTACATGAAGCTCCACGGGGTGAGTGGACACTGTCCTGCCTGCGCCACACTCAATGGCTCGGCCCTCCCATCATTCAGGCCACGCCTACCACACTCCTGGGGTCTGCACCACCCTCACCCAATTTTGTCTTCCTTAATTCCTTCCCATTTCAAGAGGATCTTGGTGACTTTGCTCGTCTCTTCTATCTCAGGTTTGAAATCTCACTTTACAAATCAAAACACATACATAGGATATGATAGCGTGAGGTGTAACCATAGTGACATTTCCATTCTGTGGATAAAGTGACAGTTTATAAGAATAGACGCATTGGGGATGGGGATTTAGCTCAGCGGCATAAGCACCTGCCTTGCAAGCGGGCAGTCGTGAGTTCAGTCCCTGGTACTGATAAAAATGAAAAAGACAAAAAAAAAAAAAGAATAGACGCATTGCTGAGTGGGGTGGTGCAGGTCTGTAATCCCAGCACTTGGGAAGCTGAGGCAGGATCACTCAGAGTTTGAAACCAGCCTGAACTGCCTGTTGAGACCCTGTCTCAAAAACAAACCAGGGCCGGGAATTTAGCTCCGCGGCATAAGTGCCTGCCTGGCAGACGCAAGGTGGAGAGTTCGATTCCTGGAACCAAAAAAAAAAGAATAAACAAACGTAAAATCGCATTGACAGACCTGGCTGTTCATCGGAAAACAAGCAAACTATGACTTCCACAGTTTTGTTAAAAGTAAACTTAGGTGGGGCTGGGGACTTAGCTCAGCGGCATAAGCACCTGCCTTGCAAGCAGGCCTGGTACTGATAAAAAGGAAAAAAGACAAAAAAAAAAAGTAAACTTAGGTGATTTAAAGACTTTATCTATAAAAATCTTCAAAATAAAATGAAAACTTAATAAAATACCACAATGGAAATGCTGGCGGTAAAATACTGCAATGAAAATAGTAGACAGTAAAATAAACACAACAAAAGTATAAGACTAAACAGTAAAATACCACAGTGGAAAAGCCAGGCAGTAAAGTAGTACAAGGATAATAGTGGACAGTAAAATAAACACACTAAAAATACAAGGCAATAAAACTACGGCAGTGTCAGAGGAAGTCTTTATAGACCCACAGACATGGAAGGACCATGTAAGCAAGTCGGAAAATTCTTAAGCCGTATGAGAAAAGTTAGATGGTTGTGTTTAATGTTAGTGGGTGGGAAATGACACCTCAAGAAAGTAAAAAGTCCACATGTACCTAGGAGGAGGAGGGCAGTCTCTCCAGTGTCTCCGTAGGCAGTGAGCTTCTGGAAAGCTCGTTAAGCTGAGACCGGGGACAGTCCCCACTATGACATGCACCACTGTGCACAGTGTAGCACCATCCCCATAAACGGGGAGGAAGAATAGACTCCTACACATGGCTTATACACAAAAGATGAGGACCACCTCTAAAAGACCCCAGAAGAGGCTGTGCACAAAATCCTCTAGGATAAGGAGTGGGTGTGGTTGAGGGTGCCAAGCACTTGCCCAGCATGCCAAGGCCTTGGGCTGGATCCCCAATATCACCAGAAAAGAAAGTTTTTGAAGCAAGGATTAGAAGGGACCCTTTTTGCACTCTGTAACTCCTTATACCTTTAGATGGCCCATATTGTATTTTACTTGTTCAGATGTAAATTACACTAAAAGCAAGGACATGGTGGTGCACCACTGTAATCCCAGCACTCCAGAGGCTGAGCCAGGAGGATCCTTGCTTGTTGGAGAGCAGCCTCGGCTAGAAAGTGAGCTCAAATCAAGCCTGAACTGCATAGCAAGACCATATCCAAAAATAAATACATAAAATAAAAATAAAGAAGGAAAGAAAAAGCATACCAAAGAAGAAAGATCTTAGAGCCTCAGAAAATGACACTGACTGCCCAGCCTCACCAAATGAACAAAAGATACAACTGGCAGAAGCCACCCAGCCCCCATTAAACAGGTGCAGATGTGCTGGCCCTCGCTGGGAACCTCAGAAACGTAAAAGAAAACAATCATGAGAGGCCTTACTTTGCATTTACATTTGACAAAAATTAAAATAAGTCATGAAACATGGTGCTGGAATGGATTTTGGGAAATGAACTCTCTTCTCTTTCGTACTATTGCTTTACATGTTAACAATTGCATTACTCTTTTGGGAGTTAATCTAGCCATGAGTTACAGTTAAAAACACAGCTGTCCTCAGGGGGCAAACGGGAAACTAGGTCCAAGCTGACCAGAAGACACTTCAGTAGTGTTTGCCATGTCTGACCCAGAAACGATCTCATCTCCCCAACATTGCAGCAGACCCCTTTATGTACAATATTGGGCAGAAACTTTAAAATGATAGTTCAATGCTATAGATTAACCTGGAAAATGAAGAAAGCAAATTGCAAAATAATATGTATAGTTGCCCCTCTGTTGTGGAGGCCTGGGGTGAGTTCCATGCACACATCAGTAGAGATGGGCAGGCAGAGCATGAGTGGACACATGTGCCTACATAGAAACATAGGTGCACATGCACGCAAGAATCTTTAAAAATGTAAAAGACATAGCTGACTGTTCCATCCAATTGCCTCATGGAGACAGGATTGATGACGGGGGTGGTAGGAATCATTAATTTAATCATGCATCTTTTTTGATTTCTTATTACAATGATAAAAATGGCTAAAAGTATGAATATTCGTAAGAAAATACACTTATTTCTGCAAGGAAGTATATACAAAGAGGTTTGTTGGTTCATTGTAGTAATGAAAACGGAAGAAAAAAATGCTTAGGAAGAAAATGGTTGTTCTAAACAACTCTGGTTCTTCAACAGGACTAGCCAAAGAAGCTTGCAGTGTAATATTTTACATGTTTAAAAACATTAAATTGGCTGGGCATGGTGACACATGCCTATTAGAATCCCAACACTGGGAGGCTGAGGCAAGAGGGTTGCCTGAGTCTCAGGCCAGCTTGGGCTGTATAAGCCAGTTCAAGACTGAACTACATACTGAGATCCTGCGTCCAAAAACAAAAAACAACAACCATGTCGTCAAAAGGTCTGAAGTGAAGTTACCATATGATCCCGTAGTACCGCTTCTGGGCCTAAATAAAAAGGGGCTGGGAACATAGCTCAATGGGCATTTAAGCACTTGCCTCAAAAGTGCGAGGTCATGAAAGCTCTGAGGCAGGAGACCTGTTTCCGCAGTCCGAGCTGAAGATCGGGACCCTGCCAGAGAGGCCTCTGGTGAGGACAGCGCCTCCTGGCGGGCTTTCGGGTCTGTGAGCTTGCAGCATAACTGGGACGCGGAGCCTGGGGCCCTGCAGTGCCGGTGGAGCTCGCAGCCCCTGCTGCCCCCTGCATGGGCACCGTGGTCTCTGAGAAGACCCCTCAGCCAGATGTCCCTCCAGCCCCGGCCCTCCTCTCCCCTCCACACAGTGGCCAGGTGTAGCTGGTAATGGTTCTGTGCCTGCAGCCTCAGATGCCTGGCCCTGTCTGTGCAGCAGCAGCGTCCTCCTCCTCCACAAAGCACTCCTGGACAGCCTCGCGTTGTCTCCTCCCAAGCCAGGAGAGTGTTTCTGTCCCCTCCACCCCCACGTCTTCTTGTACCGCCTGCAGAGTCAGTCTTCCTTTTCCCAGAAACCAGACTCCGCGGGAAGGGGCAGCCTCTGCAGTTTGGGGCCTCTCTGTCTCCCCAGGTCCAGTAAAGAACCAACCATATAACACAATGCCTGATGATTTTGTCCTGCTGCACTGGGGACTCACCCCAGGGCCTACTGCATGCTAGACAGTTGCCAGCCACAGTGAGCGTGAGCCTGTCCTCCGGACATTTGCAGAGCCGCATTGATCTCTGTCCCCGCAGGCCGTCGTGCCCCATGCAGTGCCTGTGTCTGTCCCAAGCTACAGGAGATACACACAAACGCAAAAGCACCTCTGTTGCCTTGTGACCCTCTAGGTCCCCAGGCCCCTTGCAATGCGGAAAGAGGGGATTCAGACCAGAAAACGGAAGCCCAAGAACCTGAATAAATCGAAGACACCGGCAGGTAAGCAGAAGAGCTGTGTGTGGGGGATGAATTACTCCCTGAAAAAGCAGCGGGGACCCCGCAGCAGCCTTTGAACAGGCTCGGCTTGAGCTGGCCTGAAGCAGAAGGGCCTGAAGCAGAGGGGAGCAGGGCTTGCACCAAACTACCCCCTTTCAGGCTCTTTCAAGAACAGAGTCCCATTAATCAGGTTCCTGACAAATCACTCTGTACTTTAGAGATCTTTGTAAATACTGGATCCGCAACCCTTAAAAGACCAACTGATTATCCCCCTCTTTCCTGTGAGCAGACTGAGGCCCCAGCATAGTGATAATCTGACCAGAGCCACACGCAAGTTCCCAGGCAGATCTGGCTTCAAACCCAAGTATTTACACCTCGGGGTCGGTGGTCTGCTCAAGGCGTCTCTGCTTTCTTCCTTCCTACATTAAGAAGAGGGTTATCGAGGCCCCCTTCAGAGCGTTCCCTGTACTGTCCCACCACCAAATCAAGGCACTGACTTACAAAGAAAATAAATTGGCTGATTGATGGGACATTTATCTTTCAATCCAAGGCCCAAGTGTGTCGGATTAATCATCCATGTCCAGGGCCAGGACATGATCAGAGCTTTACTCTTCCAGGCCCCACCATGCTTGCTGGCCCTGGCAAAGCCTTTATTACCAGGGTTTCCTTCCTACGCCCAGCACAGCCAGCTCCTGGGCACAGGCCCCTCCCCAGTACCCCAGATCCAGTGAGCTTTGGTGGCAGGGCCTGTGCTGAGCAGCGCCATGCTGTTCAGAATCTTGTGAATTTGTCGAGGTTGTCTCAGGTGGCCCCGCAGGTCCGCTAATAAACAATATTTGCACTCTCTGAAATCAAGAATGTTTTGAATCATGATACACATGGGCTCTAGAAATCAGGGCCTGGGGGCCCCCCTTGGAATTCGGATACTTGAGCACTGTTGCCTGTGCTGCTAAGGATCCCGCTCTCCCCAGCAAGTGTAAAGCAGGCCCTTAGCAGGCCTGTCCCTGCTGCACCCGTGTCGCCAGGCTGCCTTGACTCTGCCTTGTTGCAGGTCCTTCAGGCAGCGAGAGCCTTCCTCCCACCAGCAGTGCATCCAGCAACTCCAGCAACGTCACCAGCAGTAGCAGCAGCGAGGAACTGCGCCCCATCAAGACAGAGCCCGGCCTGCCCTCTCACTATGGGCATGGCAGCTCCATGCCCCAGGTGCGCCTGCGGGAGGGTGACAGGACGGCAAGGGACGTGGCTCCCAGCTCCCAGGTAGCACAGCCCCCGAGCAGCCCTTAGCATGTCCGATGGGGACACTGGGGACAGCTCCTCTGTGCCATGAGGCCTTTGGGATGAAGAGAGGAGGCCCTAGGGCTCGTATGCAGGTGGAGGGTGTGGGCCGTCCACAGTAAGGGGTGGCTTGATCTTGGCCTTGAGGACTGTACTGGAGACAGGGAGAGGCTGCTGGCGTGGGCTCAATGGCTGATGAGGTGACAGGCGGGGTGCCGCTTTGATGTGATCAGCCAGAAGTGCCCCTTGTTGGGGTAGGGTCCCTGCCTCCCTCCCTCTTTGAGGGTCAGGATGTCACAGTGTCCCTTTACTGGACACAGCACCAGTTGAATCAAGAGCAGCTTTTTGCTCTCAGGGTGAATCTGCTGGGCGCCCCACCCTGGGCAGGGAGAGTCGTTCCTTTTTGCCTGGAGCTGATGAGGAGACCACAGAAGTGTCTCCTATAACATCTGAGCCTTCTGAGAAACTAGGACATTGACAAACCCACTGGGTCACAGCCCTGTTCTGTCGGGCTCAATTGGCAGGGATGAGGGGGCCAGAGAGAAGCACTCAGCCACTGCCTGGGGCTGAACACCTCCCAAGCACATCTGCATAGGGGAGTCCCCACCAGTCCCCTGGCCCCATTCTGCTTTCTGTCTTTCAGACGTTTGCAGTCAGTGCCGTATCTGGCCATGGGCCCTCCGTCCACCCAGTCCTGTCGGCCCTGAAGCTGTCCCCACAAGGCTACACATCTCCTGTCAGCCAGTCACCACAGGCCAGCACCAAGCAGGACTCTTGGAACAGCCTGGTCTTGGCTGACAGTCACGGGGACATAATCACTGCGTAATCCCCCCTTGCCTCAAGACCCTGCACGGACCGGGACCTGGAGTCCCCTGAAGGTCCTCCCTCCGTCGGGAGTGACTCTGGAACAGCTGGGAAGAACGTGAAGTCTGTGATGGCTTGGGGAAGTGGAGGCTGGATTTCTTAGATGCCTTCCCAGGACAGGCACAGAGCACGGTGGCAGCAGAGACAACTGCCCCACTTCCACCCTGAGCAGCTTCCCTCCACGGCGCCCCTGTAGTGATGTCCCCACTCGAGCACTGGGGCCTGAGGGCAGCTGGAGGGGCAGTGCCCTGAGACCCCCAGCAGCCAGCACTGGGCCTCTGCCTGCTGCGTGCGAGCTGTGATAGCAGTGCCCCCGACCCCCACCCTCACCCAACACTCCTGAGGTGGCAGGCAGCACTGCACCCTCCAGCACCAGATCCAACTCCAGAGAGACCCCAGGCGGGTTGGGGCAGGGCGGGGTGGTGGGGGGAGGACTTAAGTTCCTGAGCACTTCCTGGGCCATCAGCTGCCACCACCTGGCTGGCACCCTCAGGTCGCTATTGGCAGGGCCCCCTATCCCTGCCCGGTAGGGGGTTCCCCTCCCTCCTCACCCCAGCACCTGGAACGTGAGAATCCCCGTGCAAACCTGAGCTCAGTGAGAGCTGCCCAGACAGCGCCCTCCGGCCTGTCCTCAGCCCTGCCAAGGGAGAGCAAGAGATTCTCCTGCTAAAGCCACCTGGGCAGCGCTCGCCTGTGCCTTGTCCTCCATCCGGAGGGGTGCACTGCCCACCAGCCTCGGAGCCCACCTGGCTGTGGGCCTGCATCTCCTGGGGCCTGGGCTTGCCTGGTGGAATTTGCAAGAGAAATTCAGAAAGCACTCAAACAACAAAGCGAACCTCATTGCTAAAGGAGCGCGCAGCTTGCATCTGCCTTGGAAGCAGCCTCCATGTCCCCTCGCTGGGCACAGGAAGATTTCCTCCTTGTCCCTGTTACCCGCAGAGCTGTAGTGGACTGTGGCATGACTCGCCCTTCCCCCAATGCCCAGCCCCACCCCAGAGCCTTACTGGCCGTAGCAGAGAATATCTTTGAAGCAAGATTCTGTTTTAATCATCATTTACACTGTTTTCCCCCTGAAGGCCTCCCTCCCTACCTCCTCTGCCCCAACCTGTTAACATTGTCTTAAGGTGAAATGGCTGTAAAATCAGTATTTAACTAATAAATTTATCTGTATCCCTCTGTCCCTTCTCCTCCCTCAAGTCTCTCCTGGGACATCCCAGGAAGTCCTGTTTAGGAGGCTTGGGCACGCAGGGTTCCCCACTGTGCCAACACCCTAATGATGTGCCCCCCGATTCCTCCCCCCTGGCAGGTGACACCCCCAGCACTGGCAAGGGTGGGTGTCCCAGCTCTACTCTGATGGTAGACCCGGGACAGGTCACCTCTGGGCTTCGCTTTCTGGCCAGGGTTAGACACACCACTAACTGACCCCCTGTGTCTTCACACTAGGAGCCCATGGATGGCGCCCTGTAACTGGGCATTCTGAGGGCTCCCACCTGGATGTTGAGGCTCCTTTTGCCAGTCAGATAGATGGCTGCTATCTCCGGCCACTTTGAGATGTGTCACAGAGGTGGCCCTGTGAGCTCTTGCCACCTTCTGTCTTTCCTTTATGTCTGCTCCAGACAGATCCCTGAAGGGGCTGACAGTGCTCTCTGAGTGAGGTGAGGCTGAGGCTTGGCCTCCTGTACCCTTGGCTTGCACCTTTTTAGCAGCGGGATCGCTCCCTTGGCTCATTTTAAGAGTGAATGGGGAGGGGAGGAGTGGCTGAAAAGTTGACTGATGCACTGGGCCCAGGGGAGAGGAGCAAGATTCCCACCCTGAAAGAAGGCTGAGCTGCCACCAGCCAGGGTTATCACCCACGCGGGTGTTCCCGATGGTTGGGTGTAGCTGGGAGAAGGAATGAGTGAGGATGGCAAAATGGGCCCGCTAGACCAGATGACTTAGTGGCAAGTGAGTGAAGCAGCCTTCAGGAGGGTGGAGGGGTGTCTGTGTAGGAAACCTCAGGTCACCAGGGGCTGCAACACAACCTGCTGAAACTGAAGTTCAGTCACTTTATGGTTTGAGAGAATTCCTGGAAGCCTTTCAGAGGGTTGGGCAGGAGATGATTTAGCTGTCTGTGTAGCTTGGGTTGACGGTGTGAGCTTATAGTCACTGAATTCAGAGCTCCCGTTGCTTCACAGACTAGTGCATTAGTCAGCTTTTGGGCACTGTAACAAAGCAGCTGAGAGAATTCACTTACAGTGAGAAAAGGTTTATTTGGCTCACAGTTTTCAAGGGTCCAGTCTATGATCCAGTGAGTGACAGAAGGTCCTGGGGCAAAGTGGATGTCAGAGCACAGTGATCACCTCATGGCCAGGAAGCCAGAGGGACAAGACCAGGGCTCACAAGTCCTCTTAAGACCCCCCCAAGACCTGAGAACCCTCCAGAGGCTCCACCACTTTCCAGCTGCCACCCTCGGCTTAACTCCTAAGCTTTTGGGGGAGCATTCAAAATCCACAGGCCTACTGGCCTGTGTACCCAGGGGGCAAGACAGCCCTGTGGGCAGGGCTTTCATTTGTAAACTCATCTTGTGACATTGGGGATGGCTCTTCAGGTCACACCTTTGCCTTGCTTGGAAAACCAATTACTCAAAAATGAGGGAAAACAGAATAATCACAGCCAAGATGACAGCAGGGCCTACCATGTTCCAAAGCCTGGCCTTTTCTTGCTGTGTCTCATCAACTTTCCCCTCAGAGTGGACCTTTAAAGAATGGCGACTGTATGACTGCCCAGTGCTGGCAGGAGCTCAGAGGAACTGCAAGAAGCCCAAGGTGGGAAGGTTTGCGGGGGGTGGGGGACGGTTTGCAGAAGGGGCACTCAATCTCCCATGTGGGCAGCAGGTGAGGCCCCTCGCCCACACACCACTGGGCTGCTAAGGGGCATCAGCAGGTCGGCTGGTTTCAGCTCAGGGGAGCTGCCCCGTGCCAGGGCAGGGGACACAGACTGCATCTCAAAGGGCTCGAGGCTCTGTCTGCCTGGCCTGTCATACTTCACCCCAATTCCACATCCTGAAGAGCTCCAGCCTCGAGGTCAATAGGGACTTCCTCATCTGTCATATGTCAAACATCATAGCATGTAAGCTATGTGCGGTTTTCATGGATGGTGTTGGGCCTTTGCACTGAGCTGCATCCCCCAAGCCTTCGACCCATTTTTCTTTTTTTGACACAAGTTCTCATTAAGTTGTTAAGTTGCTGTCTTAGTTACTTTTTACTTGGTGCTGAGACAAAATACCTGATTCCCAAAGTTGGGAAAGGAGAGGTTTATTTCTTACAGTTCTTGGAGGTTTCAGTCCATACTCAGTTGGCTCCAAGGCAGGGTGGCATGGCAGGGCTGCAGTTCATGGTGGCTGCAAACAGCAAGCAGAAACCAGCAAGAGAGAGACACACCTTCTTCCTGCCATTACATTGTATGCTGGCTCGACCCCTATGTGGGTGTAGCACTCACACCATCAATCCAAGCACAAGACAATGAACCAATCACAGATGCATAATGCAAACCCATGAGGCCTGAGGGGCACTAACATAAACCATGACAGTTGCTGAGGCTGTTTGAACTTTTTCTTTGTCTTTTTGAGACAGGGTCTCGCTATGCAGTTCAGGCTGGCCTTGGGCTCACTTTGTAAGCCTAGGCTGATCTTGAACTTACAACAATCTGTCTGCCTCAGCCTCCCAAGTGCTGGGATTGCGTGAATGCACCACTTGCCCGGCTTTAGACACTTGGAAATGGCCCCTCCCAAGTGGTGGGCGTGGGAAGACACAGGCTGAGTCTGCTTGGAGCTGCCTATAAGAACCAGGCTTCTTCTGTCTTAGTCGAATGCAGTTTAGGGACACACAGTGACATCCTTTGACCAGTATCTGTCACCATGTTTCTAAATGCCTCCTGTGAAAAGAGAAATTTGCCATTCATGAGAGAAGCCTGTCGGCCTGATAAGCAGCATTGCAGGTTACCAGACAGAGTAGCCAGAGGCTGCTCCAGAGCCTGGGCGAAAATCTTGTCTGCTTTTTCACTTGTCGGGGTCACAGACTTCTCTGCAAATGGGTAAGTACAGTGCCTGCTTCCCATGGGGCTGAATCTCAATCACCAGGTATCACCCTAGGGGTCTCAGGCACACGAAACTTCTTCTGGCTAAGGATCCCCGCTCTCAGGCTCAGGGAATCCAGGGCCACAAGGCCGAGTTCCTCAAACAAGGATGCCTTGGTGCCGAGAGGGACCTGCAGGTCCCAGAACAAACCTTCCTGCCTGGGAGCCAAGCGGTGAAGCTAGGGATGCTGCTGAGGTCGAGGAGCTGCTTCTGCTCCTGGAGACCGTGCAGCCTTGTTGAGCTTTGCACGGGTGTCTGGGATAGGTCCAGGAATTTCCGATACTCTCTTCCTTCCAGGAAGGCGCTGGTCTGCTAAGTATCTAGGGACTTTACATCTATCACTAAGGTCTCCTGTAGTTGGTTTGAGAGTTTGGTGACACAAAGAAAACTGGAACTGCTAAGGAAAAGGAAGCCCTGGTCAGGATCACACCCCTCACTCATCTGCAGATGCGGCGGGTCTTGGAGATCATCTCCTGTCCCACCAGGGCGCACTCACCAAATCCACAGAGCTGTGGGGAGGAGCCCTCAGAGGCTGGCCCTCACAGTTGGGAGCTTGCAGTGTGGGTGCCAGTGCCTCCTCACCCTCTCTTCCCCAACAGCCTGCATTGTTTTGTTTTTTCGTTAGTCTTTTTGAGACAGGGTCTCGCCATGTAGTTCAAGCTGGCGTTGGGTGCACTTGTAGCCCAGCCTTGAACTTGCAACGATCCTCCTGCCTCAGCCTCCCAAGGTGCTGGGATTACAGGAGTGCGCCCTGCTCAGCCTGCGTTTTCAAGCTGTTATCTTGAGCCCAAATGTTGCCAGTGAAAAGTACTTCGCTCTACTGTCTAATAGCTTTCTCTAGTCACAGAAAACAGCCGCACTTCCAATCATGTTCCCACATGAAGATACAGCTCATGGATGCTATGTCACATGTGGAAGATCACAGTGATTCAGGGATTATGTAAGGACTGCTAAGTAATACAAGGGAAATTACTGGAACTCTTAACCTGCTGGCAGTCTCAATGCTGAGTTTGTGGTTTCCAAAATTGAAGCTGAATTTTAAGGAACAACAGAGGTTAAGAATAAGAAATATTTACTAAGAGGAAGAGGTACGGCTCCTCAGAGGCAGGAGGGGGCCAGAGTGGGGGGCTGAGGACCCCAGCTCTCAAATGATGTTTTATAGAGCAAAATCACAGGGTGGGTATAAGGTGGGACAAGAAAGATTACAAGGATAGTCCCTTAGGGAATACTGATCCATTTCGGAAGCCAGACATATGGCAAGAATGCATGGAAAACACGGACCTTCCCTGGAAGGACAGGTCAGAAGGTCCCAGTGCCCAAGGTGACTGATGGCTCTTCAGAATATCAATCATTATTCTTCATCCTTGGAGACATAGGTATGTGTGGTGTGGTCATTTTATCTTTATCTTTTTAACAAGAGAAAGCATAACAAATCTATTTGATCATAGTTTTATGCAACATAGGAATATTCAGACTGAAAATCCAAAAGACATAGAGAAAACACTGTTTTTTGTTTTGTTTTTCTAGTACTGGGGATTGAATTCACAACCTCCAGCTTGCCCAGCAGGGGCTTATACTGCTGAGCTAAATCCCTGGCCCAGAAAGCTCTGTTTTTATGCTTAGACTCTGTGATACGCAGATAACCATGTAGCAACAAGATTGCACAAAAGCAGCTTAACGATGCTAACAAGCCAAGTGGTGCTATCCAGCAAACCTTGGCAAGATTTTTGGTCTCTATATGCAGCATTTCTTTCTCCTTAGCATGAGACAGATCCCTTTCTGAAATTAGGGTCTTAGGATCTACTCCAATAGAGGGTAGGTCAGATAATTGTTTTATGGCTACCTCCAAGACAGAAAGGGGAAGTTTAAAATAATATTTTTAGGCTTTATGGCTTGCTTTGGGGAAGAAAAGCTCTAGTTTCTGAATCTTTTATGGAACAGATTCTAGTTTCTATGTTTTGTGTTTGGAGAGAAAAACAGAAACAAGAAGCAAAAGAATAGGAAAAGACAGAAGAATAAAGAAAATGTAGTTTTTGGCCAGGGGTTTAGATCAGTGGTGTAAGTCCTGCTTGGCAAACATGAGGTCATGAGTTCAATCCCTGGCACCCCCCCCATGTGGTTTTTATACACAGTGGAGTACTACTCTGCCATAAAAGGATAAACTTGAGATATTTGTAGAGAAGTGGATGCACCTTGAGACTATAATGTTAAGTGAAATAAATTGGACCCACAGGTTGGATATCATATTGAGGAAATGAAGGATGGAGGGGACAGGGGAATGGGAAGAAAGGGCAAAGAAAAGGATAGAAAAAATGGAAATAAAGCTCTTGTAAATGGGGATGAGAAGAAGGGCTGAAGGGAGGGGAGAGGAATGAGGAAGACAAGAAGAATCAAGACAAACCATTGTATGGGTACAAATTCCCTATGATGAATGTGATCAGTATCTATGACAAATGTATACTCACAAAAATATAAAGAACAAAATAATTGAACATTAATTAACACACTTGTATGTAACCTATATCTCATTTTATGTAAATCTTTGGAAATTTCAGGGATTGCGAAATGGCTTGGCAGTTGTTTTGAGACTGTTTCTCCAACTTTATTTGGCCTTTTGACCTTACTGCAGGAGGCAATGAGCAACCTACGGACTGAAGCCTGTTACAGCCTGAGACTTCCTAAAAGTTATACAGGCCCTGGGGTGGAGAGTAAAGGGTCCACAAAAAAAAATGATCTCTCGAATTTTTTTTAGGATAAGACTAGAATCTCTAATTGTTTTACTTGTGTTAGCTGGGTTTCTCTTACGTTCTTTTGTACTTACATAAAAGGAACTCTGCTCTTTTAAAAGCCTTTGGAGGGAACAGATTTTTTTCAGTCAACTATCTGTCACTGAGATGGTATACTGGTCCAGAAGTACATGAGGGTGCTGTTTTTGTGTTTCCTAGGTGTTTGTCAGAGTTTTTCAAGCCTGAGAACTCCAAGGGGAGAAATGTCATTCCCTGGTGGCACCCTATGATCCTTGCAAGGTGCCAGGGAAGCAGTGCATGGGGTGGAGGGGGCCCAAGGAGGAGGCTTCTTTCTAGCGTGAGCTGCAGCAGTCCCTCTGTTTTCTGTGACCAAAATGCTTTTTTAATTCAGTATGAAGCCTGTGGCTTTTAGGGAAAAGAAACGCTCTAAATTTTAATACATCGACCTGCATGAACAAAGAAAGCATTGATATTGCTGTGGCCCTTACCCTCCCGCCCCGTTTGTGGCGTCCAACGCGGGAGGCCATTGCACCAAGGCCCTAAGAGCCACGCCCACCTTGGACCGAGCCTGCGCTTCCAGGCCAGGGAGCCACACAGGGCGGGACTAGAGCGTTTCTTTGTGTGTGTGTACAGAACGCCACGCCCATTGGGGGAGGAGCCAGCGTGGCCTGGCCAGAGCGTCACGCCCACCACGGGCGGTTACCCCGCGACTCGGCCAAAGCGCGGCGCCCTCTCGGGGGCGGAACCCGCGTGGCCCGCAGTTCCTCTGTCTAGCCGCAGCTGGGGCGTCACGCCGGTGCGTAGCGTCGTCAGAATTGTTTTCATCCGGAATTCCCAACTAGAGAAAGTAAGGGTCTCTGGAGGACGCGCGCCTTGCCCGAGTGGCTTTTCCTCTGCTGAGCACGGTGCCCCCACCCTCCTCCCGAGCTCCGGCGTCCCCACTGCCGCCCGCGTGCTCCGCCCCCGCAGAGCCCAGGCTCAAGCCTTTAGGCGCCCCCTGCGGAGCGACTGGCCCCTGGTAGGTCGCGGCCTCGCCCTGGCCCTGGCTATCTCGAAGGTCCTGAGCATCCTGGAGCTCTGCTGGTCCACGGTGTCCCGAAGTCCCTGCGCCATCCTCCGCGTCGGCCACGGTCTTTACGGCTGCTCGCAGTCTTGGCTACTGAGAAGGCCGGTGGCCCCAGTGTGTCCTGCGTCAGGTCAGGCACGCCTGCCGGGAGAAGTGGTTACAGCCCGCCCAGACACCCCTCCCCCGCCCGGTGGCTCGCGGTGCGCTCTGATGTGGGACAGGGACCAGGGAGCAAGAAGGGGACTGGTTGGCCATGCCTGGCACTGAAAGGGGCCCCGCTGCGCCCCCTTGGTCAACGATAACTGGACCAGCACTGGGCAGCTTCTGAGCTCTGCGGACCCATGTACACTCTGACCCCAGAGGTGGCTGGGGTCCAGGCGCAAGGGGTACAGTAAGTGGTTTGAGGAGTGGGAAGGGAGGACAGAAAGCCTGAGGCAATCACAGTCCGGGCCATACCGAAAAAGGGCCACTTTCCAAGGCAGTCATTGATGTAGGCAGGTGCCAAGTGACTTGTAGTACCCCATGATAAAGGCACAAGGGGCTGGACCGGGTGTCTTCCCTCAAAGCTGGCCCTCACCCTGCAGTAGCTCAGTCTCTGCTGCTTTTTTTGGCCATCTACACTGTGGCTGGAGGGCTGGAACCCAGGTGTGCTCTATCAGTGAGCTACACCCTTTTCATTTTGAGACAGGGTCTTGCTAAATTGACCAGGCGGGCCTCAAACTTGATCCTCCAGCCTCAGCCTCTCGGTAACTGGGATTACAGATGTGTATAACTGTGCCCAGTGTGGCCATCGTGCTCTTAGAGTCGGTGTGAAGCATGGCTGCTTGGAGCTTGGCACCCTCAGAAAGGGCAAATAGTAGCTTCCTCTGCCATTTCTCCCCAGGGATGCCCGAGGGACCATCTGTGAGGAAGTTTCACCATCTGGTCTCTACCTTTGTGGGCCAGCAAGTGCTCAAGACAGGGGGAAGCAGTAAAAAGTTGTGTCCTGCCACCCTACAGTCCCTGTGGCTTCAGGACACACAGGTAAGTTTAGTGTTCTGGGCATGTGGCCTTCCCGGGGCCCCCAGAACATCTGTGCCACCCCTGGAATCTGTCCTAACATGACCCATGCAGCCACACCGGGGACTCCACACAGCGCCTGGTCATTCAGTTGGTGTTTCCCAGCTGGAAGTGGGCATCACAGCAGAGAGGAACAGCCAGAGACCCTGTTTAGAGTATGCAGGGATCCTGACTGCCCCAGCTGTGTGTCAGGGCACCTTGGGCCAGGATCCATATTTGATCCTAGGCCGGGGTGGAGGAGTAAGAAAGAGCGCAGCTGGAGATTTGAGTTTGAATCTGCTGGTCATCCTTTAAGGACTTGAGTTCCAGCCTCCCTGCTTCTCTAGCCTCCATGCTTAGCCCCAGGCTTGTCTTTCATCAACCCAGGCCCTCGAAGCCCCGGTGGTTCTTACCCCTGGTGACTGTGTGCAACTCCCTGCTTGGGTGGGTCTGCCTTTGTCTCCTGCCCTACCCCTTGGTTTTGTGTGGAGTTCCTAACCTGTCTCTGGATTCTGCTTAGCCTCTCTGTGCTCTGAGAAGCTGTGCCGCCGGCTTAATCCTGTACTTCCAGGGCTCACCTCAGCCTCCCAATGCATCCTTCCTGCAGAATCTGTCTTGCTGGCTGAGTGGAGGAAACAAACAGGGAGTGGCCACAGCCAAGTCATCACCAGCCCTGTGTCCCTAGTGCTTTACTGACCACCTGGAACCTGGGAGGCCTGGGGTGAACGTTTGCAGACTGACTCAGTGGGCTGTGCTGCTGTTTGGCCTTAGCATTTTGACGCCCACCTGTTGGCACCACTGTGGGAAGCAGACCCCATGCCTGACACGTAGGCAGCTCATGCTGCTTCTCCACCCTGCCCTGCTCCCCTCAGTAGGTATAAAACAGTTCTCTGATAGGACCAGACAAGGTCTCATTGACCTTGGCCCTGGTTGAGATGTTTGGAAATAGGCTTGGAAAAACTCCACATTTGGACTCCTGGCCTCCCAGCCTCCAGGCTCAGATCTGCAGGGGCACAGTGAGGCCCCTGATCGTCTCCAGACCCCAGTGTCTGTCATGGGGCCTTTACAGAGCTAGCACTCAGAGTGTCACTGGACAGAGGTTGTGTTTGTCAGTTGTCTTGTGTCTATAGCTTCAGTCAAGCCCAGTTTTTTGGAGGAACAGGTGGCAAGAAGCTGGATCTTTAGCTGTGGTCAGTTTGTGCCTGTGCTGATTCATGTTAGCACAGAAAAATGGACTGTGAGTTGAATAATGAATGACAGTTCAGTTTATTTCTTGGCTAATCCCCAAAGACATGGGGAGCAGTTGCCCAGGTGTTCTGGGGTGACTGTCAGTCTGGGGTAGGTCTCCTCGCTAATCAGATGCCCCCAGTTGCTTTCAGTCACTGCAGAAGGCACACACGAGTGCCACTGCAGCAGATGAACAGAGACAGGGCTTAGATTTTCAGTCTGGGGATGGTTTGACAAGGGGAAAGGAACATCAGCAGTCGGATGTCTGTCTGCTCCCTGCCCCCAGTGAAGCTGTCTGGCGTAGCTACCCCCCCCCCCAATGCTGTCTGTCATAGCCTCAGTTCCTTTTCCCCTAGGTGCACGGGAAGAAGTTGTTCCTTAGATTCGATGCAGATGCAGAGGGAGAGGGAGAGGGTGGGGCCCCAGGCGGCAGCCACCAGCATCTAGAGCCTCTGCGAAAAACTGCACGGAAGGAGGCAGCTGGGGACCCAGCACCAGAGGCCAGCGGACAGAAGACTGCTGCTGACGGATCTTTCCAGTCTATGGAGTTGCTTCCCAGGGGCCCTGGTGACTCCAGTGACCTGGCAGGGGACAGCCCCCTGCCAGGGGCCCAGCAGTGGTTGCAGGTCAGCTTTGGTTTGTTTGGCAGCATCTGGGCAAACGAGTTCTCCAGAGCGAAGAAAGCCAACAAGAGAGGCGACTGGAGGGATCCGGTACCCAGGTAAGGGTGGCTGCCAAGGTCTCCAGTGATGCATGTGATACACATTGTGTGTGCTGTTCCCTGCCTCCTTACTTCTGCTTCTGTCTCTAGAGCCCCTTTCCATGAAAAAGAGCTCTCTACTTCCTGTTATCTACCTTTTGTTCGCTCTATATGCAGAACGTGGGTTTTTCATCTAAGAGAGACCAGGTGCTGTTGAAACCTTTGCGTCTGGTTTAACAGTGTGGTCTCCAGGTACATCCGTTTTCCTACAGACTACTCAAGTTTACTTTTCTTTATGGCAGAGTAGTGCTCCCTCTTGTGTGTAAAACTACACTGTCTTTATCCACTCATCTTTTGATGGACGTACAGGCAGCGCCCATGATTAAGCTACTATGAATTGTGCTGCTGTAAACCTGGGATGCGTGCCTCACTGTCATATGGTATCTCTAACTCTTCTAGGAAGAGACCTAGAAGGAGAACAGCAGGGTCAAATGGAGTTTCTTTTTTTTTTTTTTTTTTTTTTTGTCTTTTTCTTTTTTATGGTACCAGAGATCGAACTCATGACTGCCTGCTTGCAAGGCAGGCACTTATGCCGCTGAGCTAAATCCCCAGCCCCAAATGGAGTTTCTTAATGACATCAGATTCCAGCCCTCACTCCCTGCCCCACCTCTGAGACGAGGCCTTTAGCTGTTTGCACTTGCTGCCTCTTTCCCATCATATGCACCCAACTGCCGATGGGCTGAGGTGTTGCTGAGCAGTACTGGCACAGCTTAGGGTACCCCACTTCTCCTGATGTGGGGGCGGTTCCTGTCAGATCGCCAAGTAATGCATTATTCTTTTGTCACAGCTAATGAGCTTTGTGCTGCCCTGGCCTCACTGGCTGGGGTGTAGGCATCGCTGTGGGTCTTCCAGGTGAACCTAGCCTGAGCCCTGGCAGTGGAGTCCTTTGTACTGTTTATCTCCCAAGCCAGTGACCCCGACATCCCTGTGTTCATTCATGTGGCCATACCCCCTGAACCTGAGACTTGGCTGCAGTTGGCCGGTTTTCATCTGTAAACATGTATTACTGTAATCAGGGGGAAAGAGATAACATATGGTAATGCGTGTGTTCTTTTGGTTGCTCCATTTAACCCTGAGTTATCTTTGATTCTGACAGAGCCATCCCTTTGCTAGCTGGGGACCTTAACTTCCCAGGGTCATCAAAATGGCACTGCAGGGCTGGAGATATAGCTCAGCGGCACAAGCACCTGCCTGGCAGGCACGAGGTCGTGAATTTGATCCCCCGTGCCAAAAAAAAAAGCAAAACTGCACTGCAGGAGTTGGACCTGGTACAGAACCCATGTGACAGGACCACACAATGGGGGCTGTGTACAGTGTTCTGCCTGTAAGGTGACAACCTGTGCGTCCACATGTCCTCTTCCTTCTCCCCAGGTTGGTCCTGTACTTTGATGGTGGTGGATTCCTGGCATTTTATAATTGCCAGATGTCTTGGAGCCCCACCCCCGTGGTTGAACCCCACCGTGACATCTTGTCTGAAGAGTTCCACCGAGGACAGGCCTTGGAGGCTCTGGGTCAGCCGCAGCCTGTGTGCTACACGCTGCTGGACCAGCGATACTTCTCAGGGTTAGGTAGGAACACAGGGAGGGGTGAGCCTTGCAGAGCTGCAGATGGAAAACTCACTCATCCAGGAGGCTGAGACACCACCCCAGCCCTGGTATGCCGGGCTGCTGGCCATGAGGCTGCCACCTGATCCCTTTGATTTCCCTTCATAACAAATTTTTTATCTATTTACTCAGTGGTACTGGAGATTGAACCCAGGGAATACTAAATTATATCCCCAGCATTTTTTATTTTTGAGGAAGGGCCTGTGAGTTGCCTAGGCTGGCCTTGAATTGTGATCCTCCAGCCTCAGCTTCCCTGGAGCTGGCATTATAGGTCTGCTGTACCATGCCCAGCTAGCTTCCTTTGTTTTTTTAAGCTGAGGTGGTTAAACTAGGCACTTCCTAACTTCTCCCTTGGACCTCAGGTTCCCTTTGAAACTGCCCAGCTGCCCTTGAGCTCCACTCCTGTGTGCAATACTCTGTCTGAAAAAAAAAAAAAAAGTTTTCTTGGTGCCCGCCACTGTACACAGCGTATTTTGGTGAATTCCTGTTCACTGCTCACAGAAACCAAAGTGATCCCTGTTGTGCAGCTGAGGATACTGAAGCCCCCAGAGGCTAAAGGCTGTGTGCTAGGGCAGTGCAGCAGGAGTTGGGAGCGAGCTGGGCTTCAAGTCTGGCCCTTGGTCACCACAGCCATGTCCATCCTCCATGCCTCGGCCTGAACCTGATGGGAGTAGTTGATCATTTCATCCTCACACTAGTCTTCGAGGCTACTTTATAAGGAATCAGCTCCAGCTGATTCCCTGCCTGGGAGCCCTGGCAGGTGACAGAGCTGTGGTCTCCCCCATGTCCTCCTGCCACTGCTGTGCCAGCCCCAGTTTGCTGTTAACTTTTTGTGGTTCCATCATGCCAAATGTGCATCTTCCTTCACCCACCCTCCCCTGGCTTTGTTTCAGGGAACATCATTAAGAATGAAGCCTTGTACAGAGCCAGGATCCACCCGCTCTCCCTTGGCTCGCTCCTCACCTCCCCATGCCTGGAGACCCTCGTGGATCATGTGGTGGCATTCAGTGCAGAGTGGCTCCAGGGCAAGTTCCAGGGCCAGCCACGGCACACACAGGTCTACCAGAAGGAGCAGTGTCCATCTGGGCACCAGGTCCTGAGGGAGGTGCTTGGGCCCCCTGGTGGCCTCCAAAGGCTCACCTGGTGGTGTCCACAGTGTCAGCCTCGGGTGCCGCCTGAGGAAACCCCACAGCACCAGTCCTGAGTCACCAGGACCCTTTGAGGTCTTAGCCTCGGGACTGGGATTCCTAGGGTGGGAACAGGGACTGACTGGGGTGGTGCAGAGGAGACTGTGGGCTGGGAGGTGTTGGCATTGTTAGGGTTCCCCTTGTAGGAGTAGAGTGCAAGGTGTAGACTCCATATGGGTAGATTCCCCCCCACACACCTTTTTTTTGGGTACCAGGGATCGAACTCATGACCTCACACTTGTCAGACAGGCACTTGTGCTGCTGGGCTAAATCCCTGGACCACCTTTTTTTTTTGGTTCCGGGATTGAACTTTCAACCTTGTGTTTGCCAGGCAGGTGCTTAAGCCACTGAGCTAAACCCCTGGCCCGATTTCTCCCTTTTTTGGTTCAGATCATTCTTCCTGTCTAGTTCTGACACTGAGAGATGAGAGAAATCTTGGATGAAAGGAAAGGAGAGGGGGCTGTGGAGACAGACACCTGTGGGAAACAGTTGTGTTCCCCGGGTTGCTTTTCAGGTATTTCATTTTGGAAACTTTGGTTGATTCGAAGGTCTTCCATTTTGAAGAAGAGGAAAACATAATTTTCTTCCCTCATTCCCTGGAGAGATCCAGGAAAGAGGACTAAGCCGGGGGGAGCACTGGGTCAGCCTCCCTCCTGGCTCCTGCCCTCTGGATGGAACCTTCCTGGTCCACCCATTGGCCTTTAAGGATAAGCTACTTTAGCCACTGTGTTTTTGATATGTTGAACATTTCAGGAGTTTACAAATACTTCATCAGGTTGTTGGTAATAGTTAGATGAAACCAGGGCAGTGACCTGAAAATAAAGCCCTTTGTCATTTTCTGTGTCATCTTCATTTAGCCAGAAAGGGGGGAGAGAGAGAGAGAGTGTGTGTGTGTGTGTGTGTGTGTGTGTGTGTGTGTGTGTGTTTGGGGGAGCAAACCCAGAGCCTCGTGCTAGGCAAGCCCTTTAGCACTGGGCTACACCTCCAGTCCAGGAGAGGGCCTTAAAGTGCAGATGACTGATCTTATAAAGGTGGACCCACTGGGCTTGTTGGGTTGGTGTGTCTGTCTGTCACTTTCCCAGCAGAAATCCCTACAGTTTTAAAGAGAGGTTTATTTTGGCTCATGGTTTTAGCGGGCTTCGAGGCAGAAATGGCACAGTGGAAGAAAACTGTTCACTTTGTGGCAGTTAGGAGGCAAACATAAGGGAGGAGCTGGGGACAAGAATGCACCCGTCCAGGACCTGCTCCCATTGACCCACCTTTAATCAGGCCCCACATCCAAAAGGCACACTCAGCAGTGAACTCAGGGGATGAGTGTGGGGTGCCAACATCCAGTAGCTTCCCAAGACCTACCTTTGACAACCTGAGACTGCAGGACACTGTTAAATCTAAATCACTATATTTGGCCTGATGAATCCATCTGAAAAGAGCATAGGAGTGCAGGACACACCTGTCCATTTGCCCCAGGTGGTACACAATGGACCTTGGCTTCTGTTGCCATGGGATCTGGTACAGAGCAGATAGTAATTTGTAACAGTGAAGTTGAAAACCAACTGCCAGTGGTTGAAAACCACATAGAATTGGTATAAGTAACAGCTATGGATTGATGGAACTCAGTAGATGGTACAGGACTCTTGGGACATTAAGATCACATGCTCTTGGGCCAAAACACTGGAGGAAATATAACCTCTAGCAAAAGTGTGGGGAACCACCCAGAGACTCCTTGAAAGAAGAGGAGCCATCTCCATTTGAATAAACCTGGTCTTATCGCCATGTATAGATACATAATGGAGCTGGCTAGGCCATTTCTTTGTTCCTTCAGTTGGCTTTAATCAGTGTAAATTGGACTGGATGAGGAGCTGATGGATAATCTTTAAAGCAAGGCGTGACTCCCAGAAAAAACATGCTTGAGCCCGGTGGGATGGAGAACCGTGTTGCACACTGTCGGCTGGGACTGAGCCTCGAGAAAGAGGCTATGACTTCCCAAGGGCAAAAAAGATTGTACATCAGAGCTGAAGCACTGACCCCAAACTATTAGATACTACCTCACTTGTGTTATACAGATTACTCTGCATTTCTTGCCCCTGGAATATTGCAGAGGTGATCTCAGGCCTCCTACCTAGCTCAGCTCACGGTAGTCATGTATATCTTGCCACGCTTACTGTCATGTATCCCTGAGCCACTCTGGAGTCCTCATGAAGAATTAAAAAAACCTGAGTTGGGCCCTGCCTTGTGGCTTTTGTTTTGGTGAGCCACCATTGTGGCTGGGACTTAGGACCCCCTTGGTTCCCCATATCTATACATACATCTTAGTGTCGTGTGCCCCCCCCCCCCGGTTGCACTGGAGGTGGTAGACTGGAATCAACTCGCTAGAATTCCAGTAACTTCTTCATGGGATTACAAATAAAAACTTCCCGGATGGAAACAGAGATGGGAAAAGGATCTCTATACAAAGGGTGCTAGGAAAACAGGATATCCACAGGCAGAAGATTGAGTCTAGACTCACACCTCATCAGGTTCGAAACTAGGTAAAACGTCTAAATATAACAACTTGTTGGAAGATAAAACAGGTAAAACTTTTTTTTAATAGGAAATAGCGTATCTTCTTTATGTGTTATCTGCATGAACAATTAAAAGAGAGTGTCAAAGTAGATAACAAAACAAGACCCAACTTCTGTTAAGTATGAAAAAGTCTTTTTTACCTAATGCAGGGAGGAGGATGGATAGATAATTGTTTTAAAAATTTAGAATTTTGCTTTTCACACTCAAATCAGCAACATGACAAGGATGTCCACTGTCTCCACTCTTACTTAACATAGTCTGGAAACTTAGAGCAGTTAGGTCAGTTTTCTTTTCTTTTTTTAATCTTTTTCATTTTTATTGGTACCAGGGATTGAACTCATGACCGCACACTCGCAAGGAAGGCGCTTATGCCACTGTGCTAAATCCCCAGCACTTAGAGCAGTTAGACAAGAGAAAAATAAAAAGAATAAAGATAGGAAAGAAAGAGGTTAAACTTTTATTTGCAGAAGATATGATACTCTACTTAGAAGACCCCAAAAGTCCACCAAAAGACTACAGATTTAATTAGCAAATTCAGTAATGTAGCTATTTACATAGTCAACACTCAAAAATCACGTACACAAATAAACTCACAGAAATCAGGGAAACAACTTTTACAATTACATCCAAAAATATGAGATACCTAGGAATCAATCTAACAAAGGATGTAAAAGACTCTACATTGAAAACTATAGTACTCTGAAAAAGGAGATTGAAGAAGATACTAGAAAATGGAGCTATCCCGTGCCCTTGGGTAGGAAAAACCAATATAGAGAAAATGGCCATACTTCTAAAACTGTTATACAGATTCAGTGCAGTCCCAATCAAAATTCCAATAGCATATCTCACAGAATTAGAGAATAAAAATCCTGGGACCATAAGAAACCTAGAATAGCAAAGGAAATCCCAGGCAGCAAAGACAAGACGGGGCATCACAATCCCTGACTTGAAATTCTACTATAAAGCTTCTGTGATGAAAGCAATGTGGTACTGGCAAAAACACAGACCTGAAGATCAATGGAATAGATCAGAAGATGCAGAAACAACTGTGTTAGACACATTCCCTGGGAGGAAGAAAGCCTCTTTAACAAATGATAAACAACCTGAGGCAGGAAGATAACTGTGAGTTCAGGGTCAGCATGGGCTACACAAGTGAGTTCAAAACCAGCTGGGCACTACATAGCAGACTCTGTCTCAAAAAAACAAAAACCCTATAACAAATGTTGGCACGGCTGTTGGGGGAAAATGCTTTTGCATTGTTGGTGAGGATCACAACCATTATGGAAACCAGTATGGAGAGTCCTCAAAAACACTAAAATTAAAAATTCCATTTGACCCAACTGTACCCTTTTAGGTACCTTTCTGAAACATTAAAAAACCTCATAGTAATACCTGCATATCTATATTTATAGCAGCCAATTCATAATAGCTCAATCTTGGAAAAAGCCTATATGTCCAACAGAAGAAAAGGTAAAGAAAGTGTATTTATACACAATAAGGTACTATTTATTCTGCCTTGAAGGATAAACTTGAAGGAAGGTGTGTGAACCTTGAGACCCTAATGTTAAACCAGACACACAAGCTAAAAATCCTATGGTCTCTCTCTTTTGGGGAAACCCAAACTGCAAATAAAGAGCAAAATAAAAGATAGATAATAGAAAACAGATCATTTACAAAAGGGCAGGGGACCACGAGATGGGGGAGGGGGAGAAAAGAGGGGAGGGGTGAAAAAAGAATTAAGATAAATCAAGTATGTGCACTGACTCCCTGTGGTGCATAGAATCACTACCCACTGCAAACATAGTATAAAAATTAAAAACAATAGCAGCTGTTTCTGGCTTTGTCTAAAATTATTCAGTTGTCAACAGTGGAAAAAGCTCACCCAGCATGATGGTGCATCCCTGTAATCCCGGCGGTTGGGAGGCTGAGGCAGGAGGATAGCCACCAACTGGAGACTGGCCTGAACTGCATAGTGAGGCCCTGTCTCAGACACCAAACACGACCCAGCACCCGGGGAAAGCCCCTGTGCAGCAAAGTACTTCCCTGTGTAATTCGGGGACTGATTGCTCGCCCTACGCAGAGGATTCAGCAGAAGGATCCTCACCATTCACTGTAGTTTCTGCAAAGCAAACTGTGGGACCCGCGCTCACTCTTACCTCCTGATGTTATGCAGGAGGGAACTGGAGTCAGGGGAAGCCCAGGGTCGCACCAAGATCACACAGTTAAGGAGGTCCAAAGCCACCGCCTGAGCTCGGGCTGTCCTAACAAGGCACCACGAACCAGGACACTTATATGCTTATTTCTTTTTCTCACTGCTCTGGAAACATCGTCCAAGAGTCTGGAGTCAGTTACGTGGAGGGGCCCCTTCCTGGCTTGCAGACTGCACCTTCTCACTGTGACCTCGTGTGGAAGGAAGGGAAGGCTCTGATGTCGACTGTTTGATTGATGGTGCTGATGTGTTTCTTGTTGATCGCATCCCCAACCCTATTTATTTTTTTGAGACAGGTTCTAAATTACCCAGGTGAGGTTCTAACTAGAGATTCTCCCGCTTCAACCTCATAGAGTGAAGCATGTGTCACCACAGCAGTCTTTCTCTCTGGTAAACACAATGATCTCGTCAAGGGTTCATCTCATGAACCTCTCATGAGGTTCATTTATACCTCGTCACCTCCCAAAGACTCTGTCTCCAAATGCCATCCCGGTGTAGGTTGAGTCAGGCAGGGACCCAAACAGCCGCGCCACACACTCTCAGCCAGTGCATCGCAGCACCCTCCTTGGGGACACCACCAGAGTCTCGGCTCACATCGACCAGAAGGTTGGGGGGAATGGCCTTCAAGATGGCCAAGTTCCGTGTTCCAAGGCTCCTAACATGTGCTGCAAGAAGGGGTTCTAACCGCAGCACCTCACGGAGGAAGCGTGGAGCCTCGAGATGCAGCGGAAACTCCAGCCTGTTAGAGGTCCCGAATGCAGAGTTCGTGTTCTCTAAAATCGAAGAATGAATTCTAGGAAAAACGGAGGTTACCAATAGGATGAATTTATTGAGAGAAAGCAAGCCTCTGTCTGAGAGGCACACAAGGGTGCCCAGAAAGTGAGGTGCCCGACAACCCCGCTTCTCAAGGATGTTTATGCAGCAAAGCCAGGGAGTTAGCTTTGAGGAGAGACAGAACTATAACCAATCAATAGGATTACAAGTATAGTCGCTTAGGTAATATTGAGCCAATGGGAAATCACAGGATGGGAGTGAGGCGGGACAAGACTACGTTTAACCAATAAGG